GGGAAGTAGTCTAGAGCACGTTCACGTGAGAACGAGTTCGACGAGTTCTTTCATCGCCAACCCCAACTCCGATTGTCGCATTTAGTGAGTTTTGCTTCGAGCTAGTACCCCGAACTTGCTTATTAGATTGTAACAAAGTAACGCGAGGTGGTTTACTATGCTGGCAGCTGGAGTTCTTCCTCTTCGTTCTATTCTGCCTTCTTCTAGTTCAGCAAGTTCAAGTTCAGCTATGTCCCGCAAGTCAGGGTTTTGTCAAAGAGCCGGGAAAGCCGCGGACCCCAGCAGCTCCAGGGTTCGCTTGGGGAGCGTCAAGGAGGCCCTCGAGGCCGCGTTCGCCTCGGCTGCTGCTTCTGTACCTCACCTCCGTGATGAAGAGGTCGAGCAGATGATGGACCCTCAGCCCGACCCCCCCTCCCAGATTAGTGGGGGTGATCTCCGTGAGCTCAGGCAAGACCCAGCAGCTCGCTGATGATCAGGAGCCCAAGCGCTCTTCCCAGCCTGCCTCTAAGTGGCCGAGAGACAACGGGGGAAGTCGTGCTGCTGAGCCGCGCCCATCGGCGTCCAACGGGAGTGGCGACTCGACGGGTAGTCGGTCTTTCCTCTGGAAGTTCGAGCACACCAAGGATCATCCGATCACGGATGACTCCGAGGGCATGGCGGCCATGTGGCGTCACTTCAAGCCTGATGGGTGCCAACTTCCAGCTCTCAAGGAAATGACTGAGAGAGAGCTCTATGTGGAGATGGCGGCGGCCCAGGGAAAGGTAAACGGGTGTACCTTTTGCTTTGAGTTGATTTTGGTTAAGCGTTATTTGTCTTAACGCTTTGGTCCTCGATGCTCGCAGGCTGCGGAGGCTGGGAACCGGCTCTATGCTCGTCTTGAGCAAAGGTTGCGGGACGTTCCTCATCCGGAGGAGATCAAGGAAATAGGGGAGGTAGTCGGCAAGCTGAAGTCCAACCTTGAGGCCGCGAATGTGCAGGTCGCTTGCCAGACTAAGCTCCTTAAGCAGTTCAGAGGACAGCAAGCCCACATCACCTATCTGGAGAACGAGTTGGTCGACAAGAGCGAGAAGTTCAAGATCGCCACCAACCTGATCTTCACGGCCCAGGCCAAGATGGAGCGAGCTCTTCACGAAGCCTCGGACGCAAGGGAGGAGAATCTCCGTTTGGTCTGCGAGCGCGAGAGTGATGTCCGCAAAGCGAGCCATAAGGTCCAGAAGGAGGTGTCTCAGAGGATCATGGAGGTGCTCGAGGGCTTTAAGCTGAAGTGGGAGAGGAAGAATGCCGAGGGCGTGGCCGAGTGTGATCTCCAAGAGTGCGTTGCCAACAAGGAGATGCTCAAGCAGCTTGCCGCGAAGGCCACTACCGTCGAGGTAGAGCTGGAGAGGGTGAAGAAGGATGAGGAGGACTTCGGAGCAGCTTTTAAGGTTGCCTAGGTCTCCGACTTCTCGATCAGTAAGCTGAATCTTCCTGTGATCTCCGAGGACTCGGTAGCTATGGATGTCGACCCGATTTCAGGCGCGCCTGTTGGTCTTAATCAGTTTGGTATGAATGCGGAGGAAGGGGGGAGCAATGAGGCGAGGAGGGAGGATGACGACGAGAAGGCGGGTGGTTAGCTCGACGGTTGGCCGTGGCTCTTTTCTCTTTCCCTTCCTCTTTCTAAATTTATTTTTCAAACATGGTTGCCCGGCGGGGCTTTTACGCTTGTTTTGGTGTCCGGGAGGGCTTTTATCCTTCATTTTCGAACTCATCTGTGCCCGAAAGGGCTTTAGTTTTAATGCAATCGGGCTTCGTGCCTTAGACTTTGTTTACTTTTCGTCTCTTGCATTTTTTGTTCGAGTAGGATATTCGTTAAGTCGTTGAATAACTTAGAGAAGCGGACTGGGATTATCGAGCTCGAGGCTCAGGTCGCTAGCCATGAGTTCGATGCTCGAGCTGTTAGCTTCGAGTTCGTTCGCAGTGGTTGCGAAGTAATTACCACGATTGAGTGTGACTGAAAGTAAAGTCGAAGCTTGCGAGCTGATATTACTACAGCTAGCGCTAGTTTTTCCATAGCTGGATACTTAGTCTCGACATCGACACCTCCCAAAAGGGAGCCGGAAGGCAAAGGCCAGCATTTGTATGCTATAGAAAGCTCGTCCCCCAAAAAGGAGTCGAGCTTCGACCAAAGCAAATATTGCGAGCATCACAAAAAGAACGGACATTCCATAGAGGAATGTCGGACTCGAGCTAGGATTATATCATTAAATCCAAAATTATGGCCCTAACAGAAATTTTTTATTAGATTATATAAACTATTTTTACGTTATGATTTTATGTTCTTAAAATTATTTAGGCTTCATTTTCTAAAAAAAAAGATATTTTGATTAGCGGATTTCCAGTTAAATTTTGTAACAAATATTTTCAAAATATTATGTTTTATAATGCAAGAGAGATTTTATTTGTTTGTAATTAATATTTCAATATTTACTTAGGTTTTGCTTGTTTTTGCATCTTGATACTTATTTGGATGTAAATGATCAAATATTGTTTTTTAAATATCTGAATATGAAATCTATAATATCTCAAAATTTGAATACTTAAAATGCTAAAAAATAAAGTTTGGATGCAGCATTTGAATCTCAAATATTAAAAGACCAAAGTATATTTTTAATTTAAACCATAAAGTCAAGTTTTTTCGTTGTTAAAACCATAAAATCAGATTTTTTGATCGAAATAAAAGGCCGCATTTACTAAAATCCCTCAAAATAGTAAAATCACGTTGTTGTACCAAAATCGGGATTTCCTAGAGAAACTGTAAAAATAGCATTTTCCATCAAACAGTATTTTTCTGCCAAAACTGTAAACCCACATTTTTTAACAAAATCAAAAATTAGTAAAATCATGTTGTTGTAACAAAAATCAGGAATTCCCGTAGAAACTGTAAAAATAGCATTTTCCATCAAACCGTATTTTTCTTCTAAAATTGTAAGCCCACATTTTTTAACAAAACCAAAATTTATGTTTTTTCCAACACTATAAAACCATATTCTATGGCTAAATTTCTAAAATTACGTGTTTTTGTCAAACCTGCAAAATTACGTTTCTCATCAAACCCGCAACCCTGCATTTTCAATAAAATCCATAAAACCACATTTTCTATCAAAACATATAAACTCCGCAAAAACATGTAAACCTCGTAAAATCCGCAAAATCACGTTTCTGGCCAAATCCACGAACCCATATTTTCCATAAATTTGTAGAATTCTTAAAATCATGTTTTACTATCAAATTTCTAAACTCATGTGTTTCTGCCAAACCTGCAAAATCGAGTTTCCAAACCCACAAACCCGCATTTTTCCGTATGACTATATTTTCCCGCTAAAACCCATAAAATTCACAAAATTACGTTATTCGTATTCCGTAAACCCGTGTTTTCCCGTAAACCCCATAAAATCTGCAAAACCAAATTTCTAAAATCATGTGTTTCTGCTAAATCTTCATAAACACATTTCTTATTAAAACGACATTTTTCGTAAAAGTATATTTTTCGCTAAAACTTATAAAATCCGCTAAAACTTGTAAAACCCGTAAAATCTACAAATTTGTGTTTGTCAAATCTGCAAACCTATGATTTCCGGCAAAAAAATCATTAACAAACCATGAAAAATTTATTCACATAATATTTTTTTCATAGTATCTATATATATAATCAAAAAATAATAATTACATATTCATCATTGACTATAAATTGTCACATTTAATAAATATCATATTAGCTTTTAAATATTTTAAAGTAGTGCATTTTTTCAATTGTATAGTGAAGAAATTGATTATAATATAATATATATTTAATTTATAATATAACATATATAATTACATTAATTATTTATGTGATAATTATGTTAAGAGATTATGAAAGATTTTGCAATAATTTCAAAATTAAATTAATTTGAATTTTATTAAATATCAGATATAATTTATTAGTATTATCTGTTAACAAACTAATATAATTTAATTTAATTTAATAAATTTTTAGTGGTTTAATGATATGATTAAATTACCTTTAATGAATTAATAAAATTATCTAGTAAATGTAATGATATATATTATAAATACCATAATAGTTTTTAAACATTTATTAAAAATGATTCTCTTTTAATAATTTAGATCAGAACCACAAAAAAAGGTGCTAATAAATTCGGAATATTCCGAAAAGTCATATTCGTGTAATGACAAAAGAAATCCAAGGAAAGGTAGGAAACAGTAATCAAATAAAGGAAACCAGAAAAAGCTGGAGACACACGGATCTAACACAGTTTTCGCGTCCCCATATATATTTTGTGAAGTGTAAACTACTTCACCAATGAACTCAACTCTTTCGTTTTCACTTTTTCGTTGTTGCAACCCTATTCCTTCTCACGGTAAGTCTCTGTCTATGTCTCTGTCTCTGTCTTTATCCAATACTATTGGTCGTGGATGTTTGAAAGTCGAAACCAATAACGCCTGTTACAGATCGTTTCATTTTGTTGAACCAGATCGTTAATTTTGAGGAAAGGCTAAATGTGTTTTGCTTTTTATTGATAAGCATATTACATTAATGGGTTATATGTAAATTTGAATGATTTTTTTTGGTGGATGAATGAAGATTAGATATGGAGGCTAAACCAAGTCAGTGCCTTTAGCCACTGCACCATTGCGAAACCATATCGTTTCGTTTTGGTTAACCAGATCGTTAATTTTATAGAAAACGCTGAATGGGTTTTACTTTTTATTGATGAACATTCATGGGTTATAAGTAAATTTGAATGATTTTTTTGGTGGATGAATCAAGATTAGATATGGAGGCTAAACAACGTCAAGACCTTTACACACTTCACCGTTGCAAAACTATTTCTTGAACCAGATCGTTAGTTTTATAGAAGAGGCTAAATGGGTTTTGCTTTTTATTTGATGAACATTCATGGGTTATAACTTATAAGTAAATTTGAATTACTTTTTGGTGGATGAATCAAAGATTAGATATGGAGGCTAAACCAAGTCAAGGTCTTTACCCACTTCACCGTTGCAAAACCATACATCTGGTTCGTCTTGTTCAAAGTATTCTCCTTTTCCGAATTTCTGATTTGGCTCTGTTTCTGAGAGTCTGATTTGGGCTCTCGTGTTTAGGTGAGGCATGCTCAAGGGATTCACAATGTAGCAGGAGAGAAGAACCATGATGCTTACTTATCTGAGGATTACTTTGATGCACATCTTACACCTCTCGGATGGCAACAGGTTTTTCTTACTCAGATTTTGCATTAAAAAATATGTATCATGATGTTATGTTGTTATAATGTTACACATTTAGTTTTTTGTTCTCTTTTGAAAAATAGAAGTAATGTGAGTTGGGTTATTGTAGGTAGATAATCTACACAAACATGTTAAGGCAAGTGGGATCTCCAATAAAATCGAGTTGGTCGTTGTGTCGCCTCTGCTCAGGTAAAGTACTCGTTTTTCTATCAAGTGCTTATTGATATGATCTTGATGGCATTTTCATGGTTGGATTCTTACTTTGAGACAAGTCATTTTTGTCACTAGCTTATTATTATTATTATTTTGTAACTATGTCACTAGCTTATTGATATGATCTCAATGCTTGTTTTGTTTTAAGACTTTGAGACGAGTCATTTTAGTGACTAGCTTATTGATACGATCTTGATGGAATTTTCATGGTTGGATCATTACTTGAGACAAGTCATTTAGAGTGAATATGCTTAGCGATTTTGTTATTCCTCTGTTTAGCTTCTTTGAGAGTAGTTGTGTATTTACGTCAATGCTTGTTTTTTTGTTTTAGGACTTTGCAAACCGCGGTTGGAACTTTTGGCGGTGAAGGTTTCCGAGATGGCGTTAATGCAACTCCGCTTATGACGGCGGGTGCAGGAAACAGCCACCGTCCTGCCATATCAAGCTTAAATTGCCCACCTTTTATTGCCGTTGAATCCTGCAGAGAACATTTGGTATGTTTGCTATTCACTTCTTACTTAATTGCAGTTTCTTGAGAGTAAAAGCTTTTGTTTTGGTTTCAGGGTGTTCATCCTTGTGACAGAAGAAGCAGTATCACCAAGTACCGCGAGTTATTCCCCGCTGTTGATTTTTCATTGGCAAGCACCTTAACCATTTGTGTCCATTGAAAACTAGTCTTCTGTATATGGCCTTGTTGGGGTTTTTTGTTTTAACAGTTTCTCATGTTATGTATATACAGATAGAAACTGACGAAGATGTTTTGTGGAAGCCTGACATCAGAGAGGAGAACAAAGATATTGCGGCTAGAGGCGTGAAATTCATGAACTGGTGAATGTTTGCTTGATGTTTCTTATTTAACGTCTCTATGTTGCTTGATGTTTTGTTTTGACATAAACAGTTTTGGAATGATTTTTCTGGATATAGGTTGAGTACAAGGAAAGAAAAGGAGATTGCTGTTGTTACTCATAGTGGGTTCTTGTATCAAACATTAAACTCATTTGGAAACGATTGTGTTCCCACTGTGAAAAGCGAGATTTCTTCGCAGTAAGCTACTATTAAGTTCTTCTTCTTTCTTTGATCATTTGGTATAAGTTTGTATTTCTCAATACCCGAACTTCTTTTAATTGTTGCAGGTTTGCTAACTGTGAGCTTCGTTCGATTGTTTTGGTGGATAAATGGTATGTTTGTTCAATAAAAGAAACTAACATTTGTTACATTCACACAGTTTTTAAATTTTTGTCTCTTTTTAATTGCAGCATGAGCAGCTCTGATCCTCCGGTGACCAACTATCCCGGAAAAATACCTTTCGGGGAAGATCTTCCAAGTGATATCGCTGATGAGAAGTAGTTGGAAAGACACAAGTGATGCGAATTATGTTTAGTCTTTTATGAGTCTCAGAGTCATTAATGCTATATTTACAATAAACTATCAACGTTGATTCCTTGACACTCTTTGGGATTTAAGAGGGTGTTTGTGGATTTTCTAGTTGACTACATTTATTACGGGAATTTATTAGTTGCCAAAGATCAAATCTCTCTCTCTCCTCTTACCCTCACTGAGGCTTGAAAAGGATTAGATCTTCATTTCCGCACCTGAAAACTCAATAGTACACACAAGAGAAGATCCATTAAAGCCACAACTGTGTCAGCAAAAATAAAATGTTTTAGACCTCAAATCCTAAATCTAAAGGAAATTTCTGAGTTCCTATGAAACGACCTAAAGTGAGATTTGTAGGAACGCAAATTATAGAATACAACAAATGGATATTTGTAAAGTAAAATAATATCAATACAGAAATTAGGAAGAAAAACGGATTTATAGAGATGACACACTCTGTCCTTCCTCTGGCAGATCTGATTTTTTCTTTGATTTTGTTTGATCTCCTCAGATTTCTCAAGCTTTTTATTTTCTGCAGGTAGAAATATGAAGTGATACCATTCTATTGACGCATCAAGGTAGAGTTTGAGACATGAAGCTTCGCTGTTGTTGAAGATCCGGCAGAGATTCCGGCGGCGGTGGCGAGGATTCACGGAGTCGACAACGTGGTCCATTTCGTCTAAGCGTCGAACACGTGTGTTTTTATGTGTTGTTTTGTTGATTTTTGTGTTCGATTATGTTTATTGGACTTGTTAGTTGTACCACTTTTTTTAGTCCAATTACCTTTCATCTATACTATTATTTATATATATTTAAACATAAAGATCCGCATATTTGATAATTTAAAAATATTTTTAATTTTTATATTATATATTTACATAGTAAAATGAAAAAAAATAGATTTGATATTTTAATTAATTTGTTGTTATATTTGAATTCTATATATTAATTAATACAAAAATAAAATATATGCATTTTTGACATATTTAATTAGTTATTATTAATGAATTTTATTTTTTTTTCTTACAAATTCACAATAATTTTTAAATTTTTTTTGCCAAATTTTTGTATATAACAGATTTTGTTTTAAAAAAATATTTTAACCCATTTTAAAATCCTGTTTAAGACTTATTAGTAATATTTTGGATCAGTGTTTTATTTTAAACTCATACCAAAATTTTATGTCTAACATTTTAGCACATTGGAGAAATAATTTCTTTTTATTAATCCAATAGCAACAAATACAATCATAACCTTTTTTTTTGTCTTAAATTGAATATTTTCATATTATAAATTTTACAATTGAAATCTTCTTTTGATCTTTAGCTTTGATTTTTTACTTTAAAAATCGGTAATTTTCACGATTTTGATTCAAAAAGCTTCTATAGAACATAATGTCTTGATGTTAATCATTTGAGAATAAGAAAACACGAAAACCGTTAAGGATCATCTATATACAATTAAAGATGATGATACATAAAACTAAGGTATGCGATTCTGAATATCGTATGAAGAGTACTTCTTGATATACTATATATTTATACTATTTTAACATACATTTAGCACTAGTTTTTAGTCTTTAATCATGCATTTTTACTTGTTCTTGTCCCATTTGTATCTATTTAGAACTTATAGTAAGTTTAGAAGTTGTATAGCATATTTGGTACATTTGGAATACTTGGCAGGTTCAATTGAGGTGTTTGGAGGCTATAAGGAACTCTGGAAAGATCAAGGGGTCAAGACAAGGCAAAGCAAAGAAGAATCAGAGAGTTAGGAGCCATCTCAAACAGCATACATGTCAAGGTTTGTCGATATGGAGGCATATCGGGCATGCCAGCCCGGTACAAACCACCTGCAAAACACATCACTGAAGATCGGCTCGGATGAACGGCTTCCCTTCCGATTTAGCTTCAGCACCTTTCATCAAATTTGTAGCTCTGTGAGTTATCTTTCGAGTAGACGTGATCTCAGGTCAATATCAAGCTTTTCGTAAAACTGCTACTGATACAACGGGCCATACAGAAGAGTGTGCCGGGCAAGCTGCCTGATATGAAAGACCAGAGGCATACCGACCAGCATATTGGCCTACACTGGTTGATACACAAGCCACAGGATACGTACCGAGCAGAATATCAAGGAAAACAGGCCGATATGCCTTAACTGGGGGCGATTGTATCGATATGCATACCGGAAAGGAGTACAGAATGTAGGTCGATACAAAATGTATTGAGTCCAAACGAAGGTCTTCCGTTGAGATTCAGCCTCAGAAGCCTTCATAGAAGTTTAAGAGGATCGAATTAGCTTTCTAATAGAGGTTGAATCAAGTCATTCCGGTTCGTGGTTCAAATGATACGGCGATTCCAGTAACACTCTTTGCAACCAGAAGAAAGCCAATATCGACTAGCGTATCGACCAGTACACCCCGATACACCCCATCCGAACCAAACTAAAACTTGGTTTACTCCTGGTTTATTAGGAATTTTTCTTCCTCCTATATATATGTGGAAGCCTAAAAACTTTGAGCATCTTATCTATTAAGCTTAAAAACCTTCTCTTTTGAAAAAGCCTTGTAGAATCTTTCTTTGTTTATTGAATTTCTGCACTTTTCTTAATCTTTACTTGTTTAATCTTTTTCCTAGTCATGTCTTACCATAATTTCTCTTTAGTTTTTGTGGTTTTGGCAATGATTAGTGAGTAGTAACTTTTAGGTTTGAGATTAGGTCAGATGGGATGATTTTAGTGATTGTTTAGGGGGATTAGGGCTTAGATCTTCTCATTCCCTTTCTCATATGATTGTGCTTAATGCTTAGTACCTCTTTGTTGAAGAAATTGAACTTAGGGTTTCACATGCACACTAAGTGTTTGATAAAATGCATGAAAGAAGTTCAATGCTTGAAAATGGTGTTTAGATAATCATGAGTCTTTGCATCTGTCATGTCATGCATAGCCTGTGCTTAAATACTTAGTACCATATTGGTGGGAAATTTCTCTTTAGGCATTGATTATGCATAGAAATGTAAGTTAATTTTAGTTTTATTGCACAAGAGATTAGTAAACCTAGCATAGGAAACTAGATGTCTAGCATGCTTTTTTGGCTCTATGGGCTTTGATTATAATGCTTGCTTATCATAGATACACCACTGACCATGGGTTTGAAATGTGATATAGTTAAAGGGATTAGTACTAGAGGAATCTGGCTAGTCTATATTAGTAGCCCTTGCCTAGAGATTAATGTATTGATTGTTTCTTTCACCTTGATCATGATTTAGATTCACCTTGTTATTCATTAGTCTTGAATATCTGTCTTTGAGTTTGCATTTCTTGCTTTAGGTTGCTAGTTTCTTTTCTTGTTCACCTTAGGTTGTTAGATTAATTTTCCCTACTCTTGATCAGGCCTAACTTAGCAAGTTTTAAACATCTTGATTGTTCCTTAGCCTTTGGATTGGATTGATAACCTCTTGTACTTCAATGACATGATTTTAGACTTGAGGAATTGAGTCACAAGACCAAAAAAATCTTGTATCAATTGGTGCGTTGCCTCTTGGGATTGATGATATGTCATGTATTTACATCATTTAGACTTGCATTTAGTGCATGTTTTGGTTCTCTTTTGCATGTTTTTCTTATCTTTTGTCCCATTTTCTTCTCTTTTTAGACTTAGGGTGCATTTAGGATGTAGTTTGCATTTTCTTTGCATAAAGGATGTTTTTAGGTGCTTATGGAGCTATGAAGAGCATGGAGGAGCTTTGGGAGTGAACCAGGAAGCTAGCTGGGCTTGAATGGAGCAATAGGAACCAAGGTAGACGATTTCTGCAAGCCCTATCGGTCAAGGCACGAAGGCTATCGGTCAAGGAGTGATCGATAGAGAAGCTATCGATCAAGCTATCGGTCAAAGAAGTGACCAATAGAAGTACACCATATGGATTTTGGTCACCTTCTAGACTGATAGCAAGCCTATCGATCACCCTATCGGCCACATTCTGACCGATAGGATCCCAATTCGAAGCTGCTTTCATTTACCATTCTGCCATTACCTTTAGGACTTCCCTCTTTATGTATAAATAATAATTTTTCTGGAAATTTTCGACAAGTCTTGTCATTCTATTGTTCTTGAGTTATTTCTTTGAGTTTGTAAGACAAATTTCTTGCTTTATTTAATATAAGTTTATATTTGTCTTTAATCTTTTCTTAATCTCTCTTTTAATCATGATTAGCATCTTTTCCTCTTGTGATTTGGTGTTAAACATGACTATTAGTGAGTAGTTTGCTTAGGGTTCTTAGATGTGATAGATTAGGGGAATTTAGGGATTGATTAAGATTTGTTTAGTGCTTAATAACAAAGGTTCCTCTCTATTAATCAGTTTTTAAGCTAGATTTAACTTGATCACTTGAATCTAGGATTTAGGCTTTCTCTTATGCCCACCAAGTTTTTGATGAAATGCTAATCCAAGGTGCAACAACTTCCACCAAGAGTTTCTGCCTATGAACTACTTTTCAGACAGCTACAATCCTCACCCACATTTGCGCCCCCTCCTGCTCTCCCTCAAGGTCAATTCACTGCTTCTACCTCTAGTGCAGCTGATACCAAGAGCATGCTCATTGAAATCCTCAACTTACAACTCCTTAAAACATTGGTGATGAACAAGAGGTTTGCTGAGTTGCATAACAAGATAGACTCTGTTCATGAGGAGCTCAACACCAAGTTTGATGATTTGGATTCAAGGATACAGAGCTTAGAGACCACCAATGAGTATTGCCAAGCTGTTGAGTCTGCAGTTGCCTTTACTCCTCTTGAAGAAGAAGCCATCATTGAAGACTTCCTTTCCTTAATCAATGAGGACATTGACATTCAGAGTGGGGGGGGGGGGGGGGGGGGGGGGGGGGGGGGGGGGAGCTTACTGAAGCTTATGCCACTAAGGAGAACTCACTTGAAGTTGTTGATGCTAAAATGGAAGACTTTGTTGAAGTCT